AGGAACGGTGGGTCTCCTTGGTGCTGTGAGCATACTTGCGGGCAAACCACTGTGCATACTTCGGGTCTTTCTCTATCACCTCTAAGTAGGTCATCCCCACTTTGGCCTCGCCGAAGGCAATTGGCAGGCGAGACAACTCCTCGTAGGACTTTGTCATGAACTCCTCTTGCTTCTTCTGACTGGTGACGGCCTGGAGACGATCGGCAAGAGATGTCATGGCCAGGAGATATGCTCGACGGTGGAAGGCACGGTTCGGATGCAGAACACGGTGACTCAACGCTTGAGGCTTCGAATTGGCTTTCGGTTGGGATCTCTCCTGGGTCTTCGGTCATTGACTCAACTGACATGACGGGTCGATCTGACAAATCAGTTCCAGACACCATGGTGGTTTTCCTAGAAGCTACTCGGCTAACCAACTCGCAAAAATCCAGCAGGTACAGCTTCTTTTCAGACAGCTGTAGTGGCATGGTCAAATCTAGCTCGGAAAAATAAACCGTGTCAGTGGCTGTATTGATCTGTGCCCCCAAGGTGCGAAAAACATTGTTTGACAACAGAAAGGGAGTTTGAGTCTTGACTACACAAACCCGTATGAACCATTTTCCCAGGGGAACCAGCAAAGCCTCTTGACAGGTCACTGTGCTGCTGTTACCAAACCTGAAAATAGTTTAGCATGGAATCCTTCGGATGCTCTTGGAAACATGAAAGGGAATATGGTTCCACAACTCTTTCAATTGATCCTGGCCAATTACAGTCTGGCTTGCACCTAAATCAACAATCCCGAAGGGTCCATGGCTGGCAAAACATGCTTCGGCTTCGGCACGATTGGTCACGGTTGGACTCTTCGGCTCAACAGGACATGGCGACACCGGTTGTGTCTTTGCAAAAAGTGGCTCAGGAGGTCTCGGCAACAGAGGGCTAAGGCGGCACTTCAGGGAACTGACAAACCTGGACAGGACAGAATCAGACAGGTTCAACTCACTGGCTCTATCCCCACTATGGTTATGTATCCCCATGAAACACTCATGCCTATCCCCAGTAAACCCCATTTTGAGCTCAACGGCCTCGGCAGCTTCGTCCAAAACGATCATGTCATCTCCAGGCAGAGAGCTTGAGATCACGGCGGCTGTTCCGGCAAATGCCTGGGCATCTTTGGAGTTTCCAGTGGCACTGGTGGCTGCAGATCGATTCAAAGGACATTCTGCCTTCCAATGGCCTTTTTGGCCACAACGTCTGCACTCGGACTCCAAGATCCTCTGAGACAGCGGTTTCCGGAAACGGCCATTCCATTTCCCTTTTCCCTTGCCTTTCCCTTTGGAGAACTGCTGTGATCCCTTGGATGCATTCCAGAAGCCTCGGTTCTTGTTGCGATCCGTGAGACGCTTTCGGGCGTCGAGGTAAGTGTTGTAACACGATGCGAGCTCTGTGTCACTTTGCAAGGCCTCGACAAGCCCTTCTTCGAATTGCATACACACGATCGCATCAGGATCATTGTCATCATAGTAAGGGTCTGGCTCATCCCAAGTCTCTCCAGTGAAGGCGTATTCGTCTTCGGTTGAAAAAACTGGTTGTTCTTCATCAAAAACGGCATTCACATCATAGGTCTTTGTGCGGACTACAGCTTTGTTTCCGGACTGAAGTTCATGAAAAAACCTAGATCCCAGCAGTTTCAACGCGGACACGATGTTCTTGTACTCCAAGGAGCCATTGGCGTCAACGATCAGCTTCTTCTTGTCCTCAGCACCAAGGCCTGAGTTCCTAAGAAGAACATAGGCGCGAATCTCAGCAAAGCCAACCCCCATCTGCAGAAGTTCTTCAAACTGAAAATCGTGTCGGGCCATGTAACTTTCATGGGATTCATCACTTCTCTGAACTGTGGTGAAGATGGCACGCTCGAAACGTTCGAACTTTTCCTCCAAGTTGCTACGACCCAGGATGCCTCCTAAGGTCTGAACGAGAGCTTTGACACCACTGTCAGAATTGGCTTTCAATTTCGACGGGTCGATTCTCATGACCTTCTTGAAAGAACTTCCCTCACAAAGCATTGCCGCTCGAGAGGTGAGCTGCCCTAGGTGTTCTTGCGGCCATAGGCTAGCTAAGAACTCCAACTTCTTCGTATACTCATTTATGTCAGTCTCTCCAGGTTTGAAGGCAGGTATCATGCTCCATGGTAAATGGGATAGAGATCCAGTCGAAGTGGACTGAACCGTCCCAGCACCTGTTCCAGATTCACTACCTGACATCCTGGATCAACAAGGCTTCCAGCAAGACCTAGTTCGAAGAACACCTCGCTGGCCTTTGGTAGCTCCGCTACCAGTGTAGTTCCCTACACTGGCAGCAACCAAAACCAAGATGGGGACCCCTGGTCCTATCAAATCTCTTCTCCTCCAACACAACGCCTTCCCAAGGCACACAGGATTTTTCTATGGCTGCAAACACGGTGCAAATCCAACGGAAGGTTGCTACAGGCTACCCAAGCCCTCTGGCCCTCCTGAGCCACCAAGTTCTCCACTGCATCACGGGGCTCACAACTGGTTGCAATCGGACAACACGCTGTCACTCTCTCAAGCAGTAATGGGTTATCCACGATGGTGAAGAAGTGGCACCAAAAACACAATATACATATACATATATATATATATATACACATATATATATATATACACATATATACATATATATATATACATACAGATACAAACATATATACACACACATATATATATATGTATATATGTATATATGTATATATGTATATATACAATATATATCTATATACACACATATATATCTATATACACACATATATATCTATATACACACATATATATATATATGTATGTTCTTGTATATATATATATATATATTAACCTCTAGCGATAGATGGACAAGTTGGACACTTGGATTCTTGCCACATCCTGGAAAGACTTTTTGGGCATATTTTGGGTGACCCCCTGTAAGTGATCTTAATGTCATTCCCGCTGGTAATTCAATATGGCTGTCTTGACAATCCCAAGTTCTACCGTATATCATGGGGAAATATGGGATACTCCAAGACATCATCATTGTATAGAAGGATATACTTAATGTAATTTCATAGTTATCATATAATGGGATATACTTATATATCATCTACAACATGGGTCATTTTTGATTGCTATGTTGAATTGCTGGAGGGTCGGGATGTTGTCAAAACATTGATCCATGGGATGAGGGGTTCTCCAGTGCTGCTCCCACGGCACAATCGCGATGGAACATGGTGTGCTTGGAATATCGAAAAAGGCGGGGAGTCTTGAAAGTGAACATCCTTTATCCTCTATCTGAAATATGATGTAACACCTGTATTATCCATTCAGTCCAAACATATTTATGAGAGAAAGGTCTTTTCACATCCTCTATCTGATTGGTGCTTGAGCCATCCCTACGAATTGGATTCGTGCTTGGGGATGGTCAGCATGGCATGAAGCCCAGTTTCCAGTCTTCCATTGGTTGGGCTTTTTACCCAACATCCCCAAGCCACGATTCCAGATATGGGAAGAAGGTAAGCAATTTTTCGGGCCCACATGAAATCAATGAACATCATATATCCAAACATCTTCACTCATGATCTTGTCATGGCAATTTGTCAAAAAACACGACAGTAAACGTTATACATTCCTTTGGCACATTGTTGTGGGGTTATCTCATGGGAAGCCTGCTCCACCGGCCGGGATGAATCGGATCCATAGTTTCCCCAGTTTTGCATGGCCATTTCAAACTGGATCAGCAAAAATGGTCACTGAGAGCCATCGTATTCACATGTATAGCCTTAAAGAAAACAAAAAAATGTCATGAACAAATCAGCGTATCCAGCAAGATCGGGAATTCAATGTGTCTAAGACTTTTCCAACTGACCCTATCGAGCTGACCCCTATGTTTTCCATTTTGGCATTTTGATGGTTTTAACTGGTTTACCTTGATAATGTTGGCTTCCCAACATGATGCATAATTTGGAATGCTCGTGTAATGCGAGCTATCAATCAACTCTCCACATTTCCCCAAGTTTTGGCTCTATGCATCCAAGTGTTGCATTGGTGGGTCCACTATTTCCATCAAATTTGGTGATTTTCCCTGATTTCCCCAATTTCTAAGGGTCAGATGGGGTCGGTTAGACTAAGTGCCCAAATCACCACCTAAACGGGGCACTTAGTCTAACCGACCCCTACTCTTCCTGGACAATGTGGGGGTGGTCATCTGGGCAGGGGTCGGTTAGACTCAGTGGACTTAGTCTAACCGACCCCAATTTCTGGGACATTTCCCCAAGATCTGGGTAAGGTGAGGAGTTTAGGGAATCTTGGAAAGTGGGAATGCGGTTCGGTGGGGAACATTTCACCATATTTCACCCCATTTCCCTCAACTTTTCCCCTACTTTTTTGTGCAACTTCACTTACTCATGGTTAAATTTTGGAGGAGCTTGAGATATAAATCCCAGGGAAAATGCATCAAATTTTGCATAAACTGACCACATGATATAACATGGTGTCGGGACATAGGGTCGGGTAAATAAGGACAGTTGGCATTTTCTTAGAATGTGGCCTCAAACGGCAACATCTTCAATCAATGTTCCCCATGATTCTTCACTTTGGGCGTCCAGTTCCACCAACTTTTGTGGCCTAGATTAACCATCGGCTATAGGAGGTTCCCATATGCCAACTTGAGGAGGCTTAGAATGAATCTCACAGTTATATCATGTTATATAAATATAAATATATATATATATTTGACTATACATAATAAACATATGATTATATATATATATATGATTATATATATATGATTATATATATATATGATTATATATATATATATACATATATATATACATATACACATATACATATACATATACATATACATATACACACATAGTATATGTACATATATATATATATGTGTGTGTTATTCATGAACATAAGCCCTGACCAATCTACAATTTCGCCGCAACGAGACTTCTGGGGGAAGGCCTTGGTGATGTAGCCAGTGCCCTTTCGATTGCTGCTCTTGCTGCCCCTGGGCAAATCCTTCGAGTTCACCCGGACGATGGCCTTCCTCAGAGGAACGCTCGGGCGGTGGGCAAATTTTGGAAGTTTTTGAGTTGAAGTTGGAAGATGTTGACTGATTTTGAGTGATGTTGACTGATTTTGACTGATGTTGACTGATTTTGACATATTTCATCTGATTTTGGCTGATTTCATTGACACATATTTACAGTACATGATGGAACACAACAAATATGCTCTGATTGGCCAAAGATCTGATATCCAGCTCCAATCGACTTTTGGGGGCCCAAACACTCAACAAATCCTCAGGCGGGTGGGTCACTTCCTCATGTGTTTTATCCGCAAAAAAGCGAGCGGGCCGCTTTATTTTCCCAAATGGTGACTTCCGTGACCATTTAAGGGACAGTTGGATGGCAGCGGAGCAACCCTCCATTGTTCGGAAAGAATCACCTATTCAGCCTATTCATGATAAATCTGCTAGACATCCACTTTCAGTGTTTTTGGTGTGTTTAATTGCCATTTAAGCATGGTATGTAGATCGTGACAAGATTCCAGCCCAATGGTCCACGAGTCTGGCAAAGTGCAAGTCCCAATCTGGAAAAAAAGGCCATGTGGTAAATTAACATAGCTATGATCATAATAATAATAATATGATAATAATATGATAATAATATGATAATAAAATGATAATAAAATGATAATAATATGATAATAATATGATAATAATATGACAATAATATGATAATAATATGATAATAATATGATAATAATATGATAATAATATGATAATAATATGATAATAAAAATGATGCTAATAATGATGATGATAATAATGGTAATAAACAATCAATATAATATAAGTATAGTTTATAAAAACCATGGTCTTAATGGTTTAATCAGGTTTTATAATGAACAAGGCCGGTTTATAAATGATTTTCCCATTAAGACCTCCACTGAGATTTTAATTTTTGCCCATCATTATGGGATCTTCCAGCCATGAAACTTGATCACCAAACCGTTTTTACTGCTGTGGCTGAACCCATCCCTTTTTCAAAAAAAGAGGGATTCTAAATTACCCCGAAAATCATCCAGAATAATCCCATAAATGGATATAAATGGCTGATGCTTTTAACATCTTTGAATCCCTCTGAAACGTATGAGTCAATTAGAATAATTAGGGATCATCATCTCAATTTTGCGGGTTGACATGGGTTGACAAATAATTGAGTAATAATTAGGGATCCCTAATTGACTAATAAATATCATCATCTCAAACATGGATCATAAACCATAATAAACCATGTTTGAAACCACCAACAAGTAAACGTCCCCAATCTTTGGGAAACCCTAAATCCAATTTCAATGATCCCCTGACATTGAAAAATCCATCATTTCTGGGCGAGATGGGTTTGGTCGAGGTCGAGATGGCTTTGTCTGGAAGTCATGGACTTTGCTCCGTTTAATGCGACAAAATTGGATGTTACACCCTACTTTCAGATCAAACACACCCAAATACATCATGTTGTTAGTTCTCCAAGTATGTTTAGTCAAATGTCCCCATGCAATGGTTGATATCAGGATATATCAGGTGACAAGCAATTCACTGGATGCAACATCTAGGCAAAGGGAATCCATGGGAATCCCATGTCCACTACATCCCTTGACAATTCTATCCAAACCACATCCCAGCTACATCATTGGATAAATCACCATTCGGCGGCATATTTTTTGACTGTTAAAGGGTAAACATCCAAAATGATGTGGAAAACACATGGTTTCCGGTTCTGAAAATGATCTACATTTTATGCCGATTTTTCCCACATCTCTTCGTAAACGTAACAGCAGAGGGTTCCCAGTTGATATTCCGCAATGATTTCCCCGCCAAGATTCTCCACCTCCTGTTCTGAAACGTACTTCTCATCTGCCTTTGCCACGGTGCCATCCCCGTCCTCAGCGCCGAAGAATCCGGAACGTTCTGAAAACCGGGAGATTTGCGAGGTCAGGAGGCCATGAAAAAATAGAACATGAATTTTTAACTATTATCGAAGAATATCTATGAATATCTATGAGATATGGCGGAGGGATTCCGTGATTGTCATAGATTTATCTTCCCTCGTAGGTTCCCCAAGTGGTAGATTTAATAATGGGACAATGGTCTTCTTCAGCAAATCAAACATCTTGTTTGATAGGAAGTATTTAGGAGACAAAGTTAAAACATCGGGTCATCATCGACATCGAAACTCTGCAAACACAGAGACATACAGTGTAGATGGACAAAAAATCAAACCCTACAATCCTACAGACATGTACCAAGCAAAGCCCCACACCCCAAAATTTCAATGTTGAACACAACTCTATATAGCTTCCTCTGCGTTCAGGGTTTGATTTTTCTGTCCACCGCACCCAAACGCACAGCCCAAAGATAACATTGAAATTTCAGGATGCGGGGGCGACGACAACAGCAAGGGTTTGATTTCATCGTCCATCTACGGTAGTGAGCAGTGGGGATTTTTTTAGAGATTTCTTCAACAACCATCGAAGTGGGAAACTGCCGAAACGCACACAAAAAGTTTTGGTATTAGTGTATAATTATTCATCTTGTTGGTGGTTTTAACCATCTTGAAAATTTTTTAGTCAGTTGGGGTTATTATTCCCATATATTATGGACAAATAAAAAATGTTCCAAACCACCAACCAGTTCATGTATTGCCAATACATACCAAGATCTCCTGTGGAACCATGGAGGGAACCACCATATTTAGACACTTCAAAGATGTTTAAACTTCAACGCAGGACCAGGACCAAGCCAAGCAGTTTCCAGATTCCAGATGCAAAATGATACGTCCAAAGCTGACTCCAGATCTGGTTTCCCTTTGGTTTCTAGACAGGTGTCATCACCAACACATACCAACACTACGGATCCCTAGAATCCCAGGAAGGGGCACAAATCATGCGTTTTTCATGGCAAAACATCTGGTTCCACTTAGGGGATTCGCTCACGATTCGCTCAAATGACCCCGGCATACCCCGGCCAGGGGTCCATCAGAATGGTCTCAATCACATCCAAGTTGATCATCACCTCCCCTGACCGAAAGCCAAGCAAACGCTGATGGATGGCATGGATATTGGCTTGCGGCCACATGCAACTGGTATCTATCCAGTTGCAGGTAGACAGTTAAAACATGTTAAAACATGTTATGCTTGCATCTTAAGCTTGCATCTTATTGCATCTTATAGCATCTCATAGCAACTTATAATATGCTAATTGTAAGCGGTAAGGGCATGCGATTGATTATTCATTGAGTTTCACAGCCCATCAACTAAGGACGTGCCAACATGTTCTGCTATTCACACCGCCGTAGCACGACGCACTGACACTGCTACCTACACCTGGGTGAAGAGAATGGGTAGCTTTGAAACAAAAGTGGGCACTCCACTGTTTCTCTTCAATCGTCGAAAAAAAAATCACAGCAATTCATAGCGCCCAAATTGCCAACAAACACGATCCCATCCGTCGCCACAGGGTGTTGCCCTGCCTTTCTTGTCCTGGGCTATGCAACTCGGATCTATTCAGCATATTTTTTGGCCGGGGGAGTGGTAGCAAGCAAGAATCAGCACGTGGGGTAAAACTTAAAAAGGCATAGGTTGGTGACCGGTTGGTGCTTCTACATGTTGTATCAAATGGTTGTCACTTGTCACTTCCAAGCACTGCTACGAACCCTGAAGCCTTCAAATGGGGCTCTCCGGCATTTTTGTCTCTCAAAAACGCCACGTCATTAAACCTACAATGAAGCCATGAACCAATCCTCGTTCTCTTCTCAAATCCGACCTCAGTGTACCACATAATACCCTCTAATAACCAAAATAAGATTATTATGTAACCAGGTGGTACAATAAATTACCAATAATATCATTTCTCCTTTATTTGTGTATTATAAACATCTTCATAAATCATCGCTTCCCTAATATGAGTGGGATGTGTTGGATGGTCATTGCTGGTTACTTCATCCTGGGTTGACATCACTGACCTACCAAACCCACCATAAAACTAGAATTTGGATGAATTTGGGATACATTCTGTTTCAAACACGTCCGGCTTCAATTTTTATATGCCTCCCAACTCAGAACAAATTGCGGATTTCGGGATGAATTCTCATTTAAAGAAGCATACAGTCCATCCTCAATTTCGGATGATTCCTCGATAAAACCCCTATTTGGGATGGAAGATGAGCAATGGTGTGCTACCGGCGGTGCGTTTCTCTTTTGAAAACAAACAACTTGCCACATTTCTGTGTTTCTGGACATATATCATATCAGGTCATATCATGTCATACTCTAATTAATATCTCTGGTATACATCCTTTACTGTCAAACATACAGCAGTATGTTGTTTTTCCCAGCCTTAGATTGCACGAAGGCATTCATTGGCAATGGTTTTTTCGTGGCTCGATTATCATAACCAATCTTGGATACTCTGCACAAAATGCACTTCTTCTGGCGAAGTTAGCACATCCTCATTTATAGGAAAACACTAAATCAGCATGTTCAACTATAACTTGAATAAGTGCACAATAGGGATAGTTGACTTTTTCATTGTGAGCTCCTATTGTTGTGGCATGCTGAACCCACCTTAATCCATTTCTTACCTTCTGGTAACTCAACATAGCTAGAGAACATGCATCATTTGTAGATGATTGTGCCTATTAACACTGGTGAATTTCCATCTCGCCAACCTTTGGCAAAATTACCAGAGTGGAGTAAGTCGATCTACAATTTTCTCTCAATCGCCGTCTGAACAACTAACAGTTTGCTATTGAAAATGGCCATAGAAATAATTGATTTATTGTACCCATTAACAGCATGGTTATTTTCCATAGTTATGTTAAATTACCAGAGGGTAATTATTATAGAAGTCCTAATGCAAATTCTGCGGGTTAAACATCAATTTCATTTTTGGGACCATA